CGTCTCAGTTTACTTCATTTTTACTGCAAGTGTCACATGAATAACACTGAAACTGCTCAAACACTATTCAACATTCAGCACTAGGTTTAAAGAGGATCTATTATGCAGAAATCACCTGAATAGGGCTTTAATCCCAGCTGTGTGTGTGTGTGTGTGTGTGTGTGTGTGTGTGTGTGTGTGTTTGTGAGAGTATCTTCAACAGCCTCTAATGCTCAACAATCAGACTTGATGAATGAAGCTCTGTGATTGACATTCTCCCTCTGTACGTGTCATCAGAGGGGGAAAGCCCCGCCCACTAGTGCCCATCATCTCTCCCTCATTAAGCTCTTAATGCATCCAGTTAAACTAAATAAATAATAAACATCTGTGTGTGTCTGGCTGATGTAATGGTGGACTAGTAAAGGACAGACGCTATAATGGCAAACCGCCTCCATCAGGGCACACACAGTTCATCAGCAGATCAACACACCGCGTCTGTTTTTGTGCTCGATGACTCTCAGAATATGAGATGAATGCAGAGATTAGATGGCGCCTGACACACGTGTGCTGTAGAGTCACACACACACACACACACACACACACACACACACACACACACACACACACACACACACACACACACACAGTTATGATGACACAGGGATGATCCAACAGCACAGTGATGATCTCAGACACTGTCGACCCTTCATGATCTCTCGGACCTGTGTTTGAAACCGTTCTGCTTCTGCACACAGACGGTGTCCACTGTTTATGACACTCCTGCATGGATAAACAGAGAATATCCACTAAAATATACTTATCAACCTAACACTTGATAAAATACACACACCACATCCCAAAGCTGCTCTATTGGATTGAGCTCTGGTGACTGTGGAGGCCATTTGAGTACAGTGAACTCATCGTCATGTTCAGCAGTCTGAGATGATTGAGCTTCATGACATGCTGCGTTATCCTGCTGGAAGTAGCCATCAGAAGATGGAGACACTGTGCTCATAAAGGGATGGACATGGTCAGCAGCAATACTCAGGTAGGCTGTGGCGTTGATGCTCAATTGGTACTAATGGACCCAAAGAAAATCTCCCCCACACCATTACACCACCACCACCAGCCTGAACCGCTGATACAAGGCAGGATGATCCATGCTTTCATGTTGTCGGAGCCGAGCATCTGAATGTGTCAGCACTCGGTTGTAGCGAGTGCTTATCTGAGTTACTGTTGTCTTTCTATCAGCTGGAACCAGTCTGGCCATTCTCCTCTGACCTCTGGCCTCATCAACAAGGCATTTGCGCCCACAGAACTGCCGCTCACTGGATGTTTCCTCTTTGTCAGATCATTCTCTGTAAACCCTAGAGATGGTTGTGCGTGAAAATCCCAGTAGATCAGCAGTTTCTGAAATACTCAGAGCAGCCCGTCTGGCAGCAACAACCATGCCACGTTCAAAGTCTCTTAAATCCCCTTTCTTCCCCATTCTGATCCTCTTGACCATGTCTACATGCCGACATGCAGTGAGCTGCTGCCCTGTGATTGGCTGATTAGACATTTGCATTAACAAGCAGTTGGGCAGGTGTACCTAATAAAGTGGCCAGTGAGTGTATAGCTAAACTTGTTCCAGATTTACCTCAGCAGATTGGTTTGTCCATATTTTACCCAGTTTAAGTGTATTAAAACCAAAGAATATGATCATATTGTCCAATATTCCACAAAGGCTCCCTACTAAACATTATATAATGTTAACATCTTGTTGACTCCATACAAAGCCCTGAATGTCTCCAGTATGAGGATCTGCTGGTCTATTACAGCCCCTAATGTCCTCTCAGCTCAATTAATGCTGGATTATTGATTATTCCCAGAATATCAGAAGCCCTGTAGGCGGTGATCTGCTCATATCTGCAGATAAACTGTGGATCAGCCTTCCTGACTCAGTTCTGGAAGCAGACACACTCTGTCAGTGTAAAACTAGAGTAAACACACATCCCTCTGCATAAGCGTACACGTACAACACAAACGCAGGACTCCTAACATCTACACTCTGATTTCTCCAAGGGTTTGAGCTCTATTTCTGACAACAGCTGGAGTTTGTCTTCCTTACACTGCTGTAAAGCTCCACTAGAGGGAGACAAATCCAGCAGCAGAGGGAGAAACACTCCAGACTGACACACACACACACACACACACACACACACACACACACACACACACACACACACACACACACACAGACACAGACATAGACACACAGACACAAAGACAGACACACACACACACACAGACACACACACACACACACAGACACACACACACACACACACACACACACACACACACAGACACACACACACACACACACACACACACACACACACACACACACACACACACACACACACACAGAGAGAGAGAAGTCAGTATATTCAGTCGTTCAGTTTTAATACAAAGTCAACATATCTACATACATGATCAGAAATCAATAAGCAGAGAAAAGTGAAAGACTACGCAGCACTCGGCCCACGGTCACGCGCCAGCTCCGCTTGGGTCAAAGGTCAGGGTTTGTGTGTGCTTTACATCATCGTTAAAGATTTCATCAATGAGAGCGATCATGTCTGGACGTGTGCTTCATTATGGAGGAGCTGTGCTGATGCTGACTGGTCGTGTGCTGGCTAAACGCTTCAGATTTGCTCATGGCAGCGGTCGTCAGAGCGGGTCACGAGCGTCAGGTTTGAGGGGTGTGTAAAGGTGCGTTCACATCAGGGTCGTTTCACAGCCAAGCCTTGACTTTTGTTCATAAAACTGTAGAGACGTACTGTAAACAACACTATTTAAAATGGAGCTTTATTGTTTACGGGCGTCACGGTGGCGCAGTGGGTTGCACAATCCCCTCAAAGCAAGAAGGTTGGTGTGGAGTTTGCATGTTCTCCCCGTGTTGGCATGGGCTTGCTCCAAACACAGTCCAAACACATGCGCTATAGGGGAACTGATCAACTACACTGGCCGTAGTGTATGAGTTTGTGTGTTTTCCTAGTGATGGGTTGCAGCTGGAAGGGCATCCGCTTCGGAAAACATATGCTGGATAAGTTGGCGGTTCATTCTGCTGTGGTGACCCCAGATTAATAAAGGGGTTAAGCTGAAAAGAAAATGAATGAGTTTGTTTGTGCAGTATGCTGTTTCATATAGTACTCCTACGTCAGGCGATGTTTAAACGTTATTAAGTTCCTACAGTATATTGTAGCTACGCCTCCACCTTTACCTTTAGGTGAGGCTCATGTTTATAATGATAACCTTCAGGTGTACACTCATTTAAATGTGTTCTCGGAAAGTTTGAACATTTCCTTCTCATCATGAAGCAATAGTATGTAAATGTTCTCTAAACACGCCTTTTTAAAAAGATTTCTTGATTTTACATTCAAAAACATTCATTTCGTTCAGTCTGAGCGTTTACGTCTGCATTTGGAGAAACTTTACTTCTGTTGCTGTCAGCTCAAGGGTTTCCATAGCAACTGTTTATTAATATTCTTAACCCCACCCCTTTTACTGTTAGTTTGCATTGGGGGAATGATGCGCAAGAGAAAGCCCCACCCCCTATTTAATATTCAGTTTTAGTTGGAAGTACATGAACATACTGAAATAGAGGTCTCAGCAATGCTCCATGCACAGACTTTAATCCTCAGCGCGAGTATTTTACCAGTGTTAAAGGTGCACTACAGAATGTGTGAAATATCCAAGAAGCAGCAACTCTAATTCTGAGGCCATGGTGCTCTTGGTTTGCCATCTCCAGGTTGGAGGAAAGTTCTTACCCCAGGTGGAGGAGCTCAGGTATCTCGGGGTTTTGTTCAGGAGTGAGGGAAGGATGGAGCGTGAGATTGACAGGCGGATTGGTGCAGCAGTAATGCGGTCGGTGTATCAGTCCGCTGTGGTGAAGAAGGAGCAAAGCCGAAAGGCAAAACTCTCGATTCACAGGTCAGTCTACACTCCTACTCTCACCTATGAGCATGAGCTTTGGGTCATGACTGAAAGGACAAGATCTCGGACACAAGCAGCTGAAATGAGGGTGGCAGGGCGCACTCTTATAGACAGGGTGAGCAGCTCTGACACCCGGGAGGAGCCGCTGCGCCTCCACATCCGGAGAAGTCAGCTGAGGGGGCTCGGGCATCTGTTTCGGATGCCTCCTGGACGCCTACCTAGGGAGCTGCTCCAGGCATGTTCCACCGGGAGGAGGCCTCGGGGAACACACTGGAGGGACTATGTCTCTCAGCTGGCCTGGGAACGCCTCGGGATCCCCCAGGAAGAGCTGGAGTGACTGGGGAGAGGGAAGTCTGGGGTTCTCTTTTAACACTGCTGCCCCCACGACCCGGCCCCCGAGAAGAGGCAGAAAATGAATGAATGAATGAATAAATATGCATATGCAAGAGTCCCAAACCACAACTGCAGCCAATCAGCAGTGAAGTAGATTTAAATAAGGGGCGTGGTCTTGTTGGGTTATGGGCGTGTTTCTTTGGCATTATTTGGCAAAAATTGCACCTTTAAGGGAACGCTACTCACGAATGTTCTGAAACATTTCAGGAGACAACGACCAAAACAGCTCCATCATCAGTGGAGAAATGTTTTGTGCTATTAATTAGAGAATGAATGTGCTGTCAAGACTCGTAATTGTGAGTGAATTGTCGTATTCTTCAGCAGGAATCGTTCACTCTGAAACACCCTAAATGTGAGCGCACCTTAAACCCCCGGAGATGTCAGCAATAGTGGTGGTCATAATTAATGGAACACGTGTCAGTCGATCGCGGTGTCGGTGCTGTGTTTTTGGTTAGGTCTCTTCAGTGCATCACTGTACGTAAACCTTCAGCAGGCCATGCCGGTCTGAGGTTATGAGTGTGCTCATTCATGAGAAACGTGTGTGTGTTGTTCACGGGAGCGATACGTGTCGAGCGGACTGTGTTTCCGAGCCGCTCGCTGAGGTCTGGGCCGCCGGCTTCCTCTAGAACAATCAGTGCACAGGAAATATCAAAATATCTGAGAGGGTTACGAAGCACAACACTGTACATCTGAGCCATGTACAGTCACATTAGCTGGCCAACTACACCACAGCTCACGAATTATATTGCCATAAAAATCATAGAAATAAATAGATCCTTAGAAATTCAAGCATAATATCAACAAAATCCATTAAAAAAATCCGTTTGATTAAATATTTGACAACAACGATAAGGCTCACTTCACGTCTCTGGCGGCGATCTCAGAACCGGCGTCTGTCCTGCGCTACTACACATCGCGCCGTCGCTAGCTAAACATGACAGGAAGAGATTTAGTGGCTCGGGTTTGGTTTTGGCTCCAATCTTTCGAGCGCTTTCGAGACTGGAAACACGGCGGAATGAAGCACACGTTTCCCTGCGGTAACATGTGCTGAAGATCGTCCGTCTCGCCACACACACACACACACACACACACACAGCGCAGAACATCATAGCGGAAAGAGCAAAAGAACATGATACAGATACGAGAGATTCAAGCCTCAAAGCTCCCTCGGCCTCCCAAACACACGGCGTAAGCAGCATATAGTCATGTAGAGACACTCAAATACAGTATGGACAGAGAGAGTCCGTGCCGTCACACCACGTGTGCTGAGTTCTGCGGTCGCTCCGTTAGGCACAGACGGTGGGAGATCTGCTTCCGGACATGACTTCAGGCAGGCACAGACCGACTCGCTCCGTCTGACGTTGGCAAATACAGTTTGAAGAAACTCCCACTGAAGGGTGCAGCAATATTCCAGGCTTTGATTTCAGTTCTTTGTGTTTATTTTTATCTTTTGTTGTTGTTGTTTTGCTTTAAATAGGTTTTGTACATGTAACCAGTTCCTCTTGTTACAAAGAAGATCTTCATCCACAGTTTAATATTTCTAGAAAGCCCACCACAACATTAATATCAATATTTGAACACTGAGGTAATAGTTTGCGTGGCGCGTCGCGGAGAGGTCCTGAGAGATCGTCTGCTCCGCGCCGCTGTAAGTGTGTGTGTTTCTGGTTGTCGTTCCTCTGCGGGTGTTTTTGCGGGGTTGTCGAAGGGGGAAGGTGTTGATCATGTCGGCGTTCATCAGCTCTTATGTTGCATAGTGATCAAAACTCCCAAGGTACTCCAGCCCGGCCTGATAGCAGAACTGGTACTCGTCCTGAGAACACACACACACACACACACACACACACACACACACACACACACACACACACACACACACACACACACACACACACACACACGTTTCATCAGATTTGCAGCATTATCCTCTGGTTAATCGCTAGGCTAATTCTAAAGCGCTGCTATGGTGTTCTGGGTGGTTGCTATGTAGTTGCTAGGGTGGATGTCTTTATAAAGTAGGTACATTTTTGATGGAGATTTAAACTCCTTCAAGTGTGTGTGAAATGACAGCAGAGCTCTGAGCGACACTGAAGAAGGACAGTTCACTGCAGCAACGCCTCCACCTTTACCTGTAGGCGGATGCTGATGTCTGTAATGTCTGTTGGCTGTACACTCCAGCGTTTGTCTGGTTTTAGCCAGTTTCAGCGTTCTGATGTGTTAAACATGATGAGCTGGGATCTTCAGTGTTTTGTGTCGTGTTTTACCTCAGTCTGCACCATGGCCGGCCGTTGCGTGCGAAGCATCTTGACGGTCTGGAAGATGTCGACGGCGCCTTCGTAACGCATGCGCTCCAGCACGATACTGAGGGTGATGAACACTCCTGTACGCCCGACACCCGCACTGATGCACACACACACACACACACACACACACACACACACACACACACACACACACACACACACACACACACACACACACACACACACACACTCGGTTACTCTGGATTCGACATTTCTTCATCTATAAACAGCAGAGTCGGGACGCACCTGCAGTGCACTGTGATTGGTCCATCCTGACCAAACTGCTCCTTGGTTTTATGCACCTGTCCAATGAAGTCAATGAACCCCTCCCCTGACTTTGGGACTCCTTGTTCTGGCCAGTCGGTGAACTGGAACTGTCTGACCGTCCTGGACTGTCCGTCCTGTGGAGAGAAACACTTCTTAGACGCTCCTCGCTGTGTGTGTTTGGACTCTGTGGTGTAGATTCACAGTTGACCTTTTTTATCATAAGACACATCCACATTCACTAGTATTTGTCTCTCCTTCTTAGGGTGAACAAACCCTTAACACATTTATACACACAACTCTACTTTAAAACGTTCTGTCCCTTGAGCATCCGCTTGTAGCTTGTAGCTTTAGCAGGAGAAGCATTGATGGAGGTGTTGGAGCTGGAAACAGTGGAGAGCCAGATTCGCGATCTGCAGATGAAGCGAGCACAGCTCCGGGAGCAACGGGCATTTGAGGTAAGTGTGCATTACAATGTTTTAGTCCAGGCCCAGCGCTCTGAGGACGCGGTTCGTCCATGGGTCGTTTACTCCGGCACCTGGCTACCATGACCCCTGGGTGCAGCCGCATAAGATGCATACCAGGTCCCAGGACAGAAGTCTCCTCCTCCCGTGTTCGAGATCTCCACAGGGAACTGATTCGCCCCTCTCCACGAGACGGGTCGCGATGTGGTGACTCCATCGTTCACAGCGTCTGCGCTGCTTCCACTAAAGCTAACAACGTACATCTCACTGCTTTCCCGGTGCTCGTGTTAAGGATGTTTCTGCTAAGGTACCCACTATCCTGAGCTCTGGTGAGAACATCGGAGCTGTCGTCCTCCACATGGGGATGAACGACACCAGGCTGCAGCAGACAGAGTTCCTGAAGATCTGGCTCCTTGTCTATATTACTGCTCCTCGACCTCAGCTCTGTATTTGATACGGTCTCTCGTGATTCACTCCTCTCACGTCTCTCTGATCTGGGTGTTTCTGGTACTGCTCTCTCATGGTTCTCTTCATATATCTCAGATAGACAATACTTCGTCTCTGTTATGGATTTTCAGTCGTCTACTGTCCCCCTGAAGCAAGGTGTTCCCCAGGGTTCTGTTCTTGGCCCACTATTGTTCTCAATATACCTAATCCCACTTGGTCTGATTCTACAAGGTCACGGTCTAAACTGTCATCTTTATGCAGACGATACTCAACTTTACTCTGTATGTACACCCACCTCATCCGGCCAAATTGACCATATCTCTGCTCGTGCGAGGGATATTAATGATCGGCTCACCTCAAATTCCCTGAAACTCAACATGGACAAAACTGAGATGATGTTTATGGGCACCCCAGCACTTACCAGCAATATTTCCACCAGTTTCTCCTGTGAGATTGCTGGCTCGGTCATTAAAACATCTACTTCTGTAAGAAATGTAGGAGTAATCTTCGACTCCACACTCTCTTTTCAGTGTCACATTAAATCCGTCACTAAATCTGCATTCTTTCACTTACGTCGCATTTCCCACCGCGTCCCTTCATCAGTAGCAGGATGCTGAGACTGTCATCCATGCATTTGTCTCCTCGCGCATCGACTATTGTAATGCTCTTCTCATTGGTCTGCCTGCCAGCCTCATCTCCAGATTACAGGATATTCAAGACTCTGCAGCTAGAATACTCACTCATACCAAACGTTCTGCTCACATATCCCAATCTCGTATGATCTCCACTGGCTCCCGGTTGCATACCGCATTAAACTCAAAATTCTCCATCTTGCATTTAGATCCCTAAACAGCCTATCACCCTCCTATCTCTGCAACATGCTTGTCCCCTACACCCCGACTCGCTCTTTACGCTCTGCTGACTCTGGTCTTCTTGCTGTCCCTCAGTACCGCCTCTGTCTTCAATGGGGGGCAGATCATTTAGTGTTATTGCACCCAAACTCTGGAACTCTCCTCCACGCTCACTCCGCTCTGCTAATAACATCTCTGATTGCAGATCCTGACTAAACACGCACTTATCTTCTGAACGCTTCACTTCTGATCTGCCAAACGGACCGCTTCATCTGATCCCCCTCCCCTCTGCTCATTGTCTCTCAGGTCTTGTTTGTGTAACTCCAGTGTGTTATATTTGACTTCATGTGTGTTTGTTTATCTTTTTGTTGTGTTCCTTGTAAAGTGTCCTTGAGCTCTGGAAAGGCGCTTTATAAATAAACATTATTATTATTATTCGCTTTATAAATGAAAATTATTATCATTATTATCAAGAGGGACTCCAGGTACAGACGAGTCTTCGCTGAGGTCCAGCGTTCTCCAGCCTCCGGTGCCAAGACTGCAGCTCTCCACAAGACGTGTTGCCATAGGAGAAATGGTCGTGCCCAACTCGGTTTCTCTCAAGGTTTTTTTCCTTCACTTTCGCCAATTGGTGAAGGTTTTTCCCTGAACCTGGCTTGCATAGTTCAGGAGCTGTAGAGCTGTGCATGGATGGATTTTCTCTTCAGTGTTTGGACTCTCAGTAGTGATTATTAAACCACACCTGAACTGAACTGAAACTCTGAACACTGGACTGACACTGTTTCAGTTCACTAGGATCTTTATGTGAAGCTGCTTTGACATAATCTGCACTGTAAAAGCGCTACACAAACACAGATAAATTGAATTGAACTGAATTATTTAGTAGGGGAAATGATTTTTCTTAATTTATTTAAATTGAAATTGACCTAGTTACTTTAACTGTCGTAATGTTTAACCATGCAGCAACCAGCAGTCAAAGAAGCACAACTGGATCACCCCCCCCCCCCTAGCCATACACTAGCCATAAGAGTGTGTTTTACTTCCCAAATGGGGTATAACTCCATCCTATTTAGTGTTTTAATTGATTAGAACATAATCAGATGCTGCTAGTCAATTGTTCCTGCAGTCAATTGTGGATAAAATGATCAATAAAAGAGTCATGATCAACTGCTGTGAGTTTGACTGCGGGCTGTGTGATGTGTGTGTGTGAAGGGGAGTCTCATGTGTCCAGGTGTCAGATTTTCAAACAGCTTTCCTCCACCTGCTCTTGCGGATGGGCCCGCACAGTTAGCGCTGTACACTGGTCACTACTAACTGAATAAGTGGGAGCACACACAGGGGCGTCGCTAGACCCAAAAATAGCCAGAGCCCCATTAAATGCTTTGAGATATGATTTACTTTATTTGCAAGGTTATTTATTAAGAGTGGTTTTCCCAGAATAAAGGCAGTATTCTCTACGTGCAACTGATTTAACGCTGATGAAAGCAATGTAGTTTACTCAAAAAGCAAACTGACGTGTGCATGTGTGCAGAATAACATCCCCGCGCACCTCACACTGGACCCTGATGCGCTGCTCTTCTCCCGGTTGTTAACATGCACGCCGGAAAAAATACTTTCACTCTCATGCGATGTGAAACTGGCGTAACAGTCTGTTATGCGGAGGTGTCGGAACACAGCGAGTTTTGCGAGTTTTGCAAATAATAATATGATTACTAAGCGTGCCTCCTGATTTTATGTGTGAAGTAAAAATGAGAGATGACGAGTCAGGGAGGCAAGACTCAATAAAGATAATTCTCTGCCATGTGCCAAGTCTGAGACAACAGATAATTCTAGAAAACATCTTTTTTTTTATTCTCTAGAATTTCATTCAAAGCATTCCATTCTAAGATCATATTAATAACTTTTCTCTTTGCACCACTAGGTGGCAGTCTTTGTTCTTTTATTTCGGGGTGCAGATTGCATACGTTTTATTAATATATATATATATATATGAGAAATATCACACGATTAGCAGTGCTATATGGCTGTATATTGGCAGTGGTAGGAGGCATGCGTTGGCCGTAGGTCGAGTGTCTTAGAGCCCCCACCAGTGCCGATATAAAGCCATATCGCACTGCTACGAGTGTGATATTGCGCTTATACAACAGTTTGATGGCATAATCGTGTATATAAAAACAAAATCAAACATGGAGAGTCTCAAAAACCCTTATGTATGTAAGCAAGCATCTTTTACACTGTAGATCTGTCGTGTCTGCTTTTTGCTGGCTGTATGTGGGCGGAGTAATACACAAAGGGTAAAGAGGCTGTAGGAGTTCTGATATTGCAGAATATCGCACGGCTATCAGCCAATCAGATTCAAGAACCAGACAGAACTGTTGTATAAATATATATATATATATATATATATATATATATATATATATATATATATATATATATATATATATATATATATATATATATATATATATATATATATATATATATATATATATATATATATATATATATATATATATATATATATATATATATATATATAT